TCTGTTTACAATTTTATTATAGTGACTGATGTATTGCTGTTACATTCTTAAAAGAGAACAATTCAAAAAACTGAAAATGAAGAAACACAAAACTCTTCAAACATAATGTGATTTTTCTGTTTCAGGAACAAAAAGAAAAAGACGACAAAATAATCATGTGAGAAAAATCTTATTTTTTTCAAAATATTTACTATTAAAATAGTATAAATTTCTACTATGAAGATCTGTTGCACTCAGTTGATATCGAATTAAAATATATTAAAAACTATCATCTTGAAACTAATAATTATTGAATTTGTTACAGATCAAATCTTAACAGACCAATGGCAAAATTAACAAGTAGTCAAAAGGCAGAATTACAAGATGCATTTAATCTATTTGATTCAGGTATGCAAAACAAAAATGTTTTTATACTAATCACTGTTTATAGGCGTTCTAAATAAATCTTTTAATTGGCTTCTCAATTGAAAATTTCTACCTCGTAGGAGACTCGTCAATAAAACTGTTCAAAGAGTTTTCTTACTTAAAATCCTAGAAAGTTTTAGAGATATTAAAGATTGAGTGTTCAAGACACATCGAAACATAATTTTGTTTTATTTTGGTAAAAATAGTGTATGTAGTTATCATACTGGCATTTGACTAAATGTCAGCAGTTACATTGACAAGTTAGTGACCGATTAACTGACACTTTAGTGTTCCCTTTATAGAATCATACACATGCATTCTGTCGTAGGTTCGAGGTTCTTTTAACTCGTTTGCTTGCTCCAGTTATAACCTCGGTTGTTCAGAATGACTTTGTCTATCTGATATTTTCTTGTAAGTATAACCTTTTTTAAACTTAAATTTTTTATCTCATACATTTTCAGTTTTTTGAATTGTTCTCTTTTAAGAATGTAACAGCAATACATCAGTCACTATAATAAAATTGTAAACAGAATAATTGAAAACTTCCAGGTTCACACTAAATTGCAACAACAACGAGACGAATGTTATTTTTTCATTCTTGTTCACTACCTTTACTTTCTCCGTCTTCAATGAGAAGCGCTTCATTTTTATTGATGATTGTTCAAAAATCAGTTGGCGCTGGTTTCTTAGGGATTTTTCAGTTTTTAGAGAATCTCCTGCAACTGCACTGAAGGCTGACATTTAGCATTTATGAAACTTCAATGAGCGTTAGAAACATTGACCAATAGTTGTTTATTCTCGTTATTTTAGATCAATCAGGAAAAATTTCAAGAAATGAATTAAAAAATGTATTGAATGCACTGAATATTCAAGTGACTGATAATGAATTGAAACAAACAATGTCTCAAATGGACGGTAATAATAGTGGTGAGTATCTCGACAATGTTCGTAAGTATTTCCCTTATTAATGCACTCGTACTTTTAGGTGACATTGAATTCGACGAATTTTGTCGAGTAATGGGGCAAACATATTTTAAAAAATATACACGTGAAGAATTACAAAATACATTTAGAAACTTTGATTCCGATGGGTCAGGTTACATTCAAGCAAGTGAATTAGAAACGATTATGTCACGACTGGGTAAACGAATGAAGAAAAGTGAAATTGATCAAATGATCAAATCTTTAGATACGACTGGCGATGGTCAAATTGGATTTGATGAATTTGTCAAATTATTTGATTAATATACTGTAGTAGCATTAGCGAAACTATTATAACTTTAACTTGATATTGCACTCTTAAAAAGTTGACTAAATTTACTTTATTAGCATCAAAGAAAAAAATCAGCTGTCGTTGTGTGTCACAATGAAACTTTTTATCTAACTCCCTAGTCATCGATTCTTATATAAGAATCTTACCAGAAACGTTTAAGTCTCTTACCAGTGTCTTACAAGATTCTTATCGGAATCTTATCAGTTTAATATAAGATTGTTTGAGACTTCCCATCGACAGTCGTAAGTGACTTATAAGAATTTTATAACATTTTCATAATAGGTCCGTACGAAATTCATAAGAAGTACCAAAAATTCTTATGAAGTTTTCCAGCTTAACTTAATCATAACTAAAATCACTAAAACCAATCCATAAGCTGCGTTTTAGTAAACAAGAATAGCATAAGAATTTCTGGTTCATCTTATGAATTTCTTACGAATCTGTTATGAAAATCATATAAGATTCTTATAAGACACTTACTACTGTAGATGGGAAATCTTAAACAACCTTATATAGGAAACTGATAAGGTTCGTGGATTCACGAAATTCAAAGGTTGCATTATTTTTCCAGGTAACTTCTACGTTTTTATTCAAAAGACAAAAATAACAAAGAGATAATGTTTCTGAGGCTGCTAAACGTTTATCACAAAAATAGCAATAGAAAAAAATATTTTCTTAAGTCTTTTAATTTCCACTGTGATTAAAACTACCATCACTTTGATTGAGTTTCTCCTTCTTGGCTGTGAAAGAAGCAGAACGTCTACGTGTAGAGATTGGTAATATAGCCAGTATGAAGACATGTTGCATAACGAAAAAGTAAAAAATAATTCAGCGCGCCGAGAATGCGACTTTTCCCACCCTCTATTGTGTTTAGGATTGCGAAAACAACAAAAGAAAGATGTCTTTTGCATGTCATGAAACTCAATGTAAAACGACACGTCATTTGGAAAAAAGTCACTACAGATATGCATTCAGAGTTGGTATGGTTTAAAAACTAGTTCTCCTTGCTTACCGCACGATTTAAGCGGATAATGTGCTACAGGCTAAAGCAATATACCGTTAAACAGAATACGAATGAGGGTTTTAAAACATTATTTGATTTAAGCTTTAATTTTGAACCAGAACGAAATCGAGAATATAAAATTCCCATTATATTCTAAAATTTAAACTATCAAAATACAAAGCCAGACTGTTCCTCCAAAATTAGATTATTTGATCTCAAGAATCGAAGTACATGTTTATATACGGCTCTTTTCATGACAACGGACAGGCGGATAACAGGGTTATGTGACAATAGTTGGCCAGCATATGAGGATCAAGGTTCATCTCAAAGAATGGTAAAGCTTGTTTCAACTTCCAAATGGAAGGAACTTGAGATGAAGAGTCCTTAAATGAAATCGTGACTACAAAGGCAATAACTTTATTACTATTCTTCATGATTGTGTTAAAAATACTGGGGAACAGTTGCTTTACTGGCATCCAAATATAAAACAGTTCTATGCTTTAAAATAAATGTTATAGTATGAACTTAAACTTCTTTTGGCAATTCTGTATACGGTCCAAATCAAAAATGCTCAATACATTTTCAAGTAATTTTTGGTCAAATACGACTGTACGTAAAAAAAAGAATTGAATTTGACAAAACTTCAAATAGAAAAAATGAAGTAGTCAATGTAAATAAACGTAGAATGGCATGAATAAAATAATAATTCGTATTTTTAAAGGTGAGTGAATCAATGTGTAATGATCAAAAATATAAATAATGTGGATAACACTGCTAGATAACGTGACCACCAAATGTTGTTGCCACTGTTACATAGATCATTTGAACAAAAACAATAGATTTTATGTTTTGTTTTTGTTGTTCTCGCCGTATGACAACCAGATTTTATTGTAATTTTCATTGCTTGCAAATGTTCTAACTCAGTTTGTGATACACATTTTCGTATTGTTGGCGTACGTTCATCTTTCAATAATTCTTCTTTTGTTCGTGCTTCAATTTTTTCATACGCTTTTAGACATTTTCCATCGCATTCTTCTTCAACATATGATGATGATAATGCAAATTTTTTAATACATGCATTTTCTTTTGTTTCAACATCTGAATGATGACATTTATAGCAACGTCGAGGACGATTTAATGACGAATAAAATTGTTTTGATGGTGCTAATTTACCACTCGAAGAATTGGAATAATATAGTTGACAACTGATAAACGAGCAAAACGAAATAATTAATAATATTAAAAAACTCAAATGCATTTTTTAAAGAACAAAGACCTCCATGATGTAAACAGAGAGATGTTGAACATTGTCTGTTTGTCTCTCTTTTTTCGTTTTTTTTCTGTTCATTAAAACAATTTTATCTACAATACGTGGACCGATAGATGTACAACTCTTAATCTCTTATTCGAATTTACTGTGCATATTTCTTGAGGAAAGAGGACAGATGAGAGACAAAAAATGTTTATTTGTATTAGTAAAAATAGCATTAGTTGTCCGTTTAACATAATTTAAAAGAAACTTCGTATCGTAAAAAGCGGTGGGCTCTTGCCCACCTGACATACGTCACTGACATTTTCATCTATTGTTTAAAATAATCTTTCGAGAGTTTTATCAGCAAAGATAGAGGGGTAGTTCCAAGCAGCTCCGCCCAGTATGACATGATCTGAAAGTAGGTCAGAAATGACTCTTGTCATCGTCTAGAGCATGAAAAATCACTTATATATCCATACATTTTAGCTGTTCAAACGTTCCGAGAATGGCCGTCCATAGCTGCAAAAGACGATGTTACCCGTTTTCGAGGACCCCCGAGTATCGAATTATCAATTTCACCACCAGATCGGACTTTTAATAACAGTGATGACCGAAAAGAGCATAAAAGGTTGCATATGTTTCATCAAAAAATTTAATTTTTGCTCATCGTTTTTTATACACGCTTTTCCATGAAAAATCTAACCGTCACTGGCAAAAATTACGTTTTTTAATTAAGAATTTTTAAGAAAAATTCATCCAAAGATTTTTCTGCTTACTTTAAAATGACCAGAAAGCACCACTGATGCCTGTTTGAATGCTACAACGACAAGCTCGAAAATACTTACTATTTCGCCCCAATACCCCGACATCCGAGATCTACTTTTGAACTTTGTGAGCTGTCCTCACGAAAACTATATGTGAACTTTTCGAGACATTATTATCTTAGATACTATTCGAGTAGCCCTACAAAAGCCGCCAAGTTTCAAACCTGACTGAATAAATTTTTTGGATCGGATTCTGTAACAAATCGGTAAATTTAGTCGCCATACAGAGCAGCAAAAGGAAAGAAAAGAAAAGAGAGAAAAGAAAGAGCCATAGGTGGATGGATTCGTGCACTTCCGACCATCAGAGTCCACCAAGGCCAACATATGAGGGTCGAGGTTCGCCTCAAAGAATGGTAAAGCTTGTTTCAACTTCCAAATGGAAGGAAATTGAGATGAAGAGCCCTTAATAGGATCGTGACTACAAAGGCAATAACTTTATCACTATCCTTCTTGATTCTGTTAAAAATACTAGGAACTAATTGTGTAAATAAATAACGAAATTCAATTTACGAAGGTATTGAGGAGAAAGAAAACACACCACCTTTTTGCTTTTGTTTTACTTTCATCAGAATAAGAAACAGAGTGAGTTGAATTGCTTGACTAATGTGTGCTTAAAAGAGTAAAATATTCATTCGATCACAGTAAAAGATATTTTATGTTTCAATTCCAAACAGTACCACCACATTCTCTCATACAAAGCCAAGTCGATATTTTCTAACTGTAATCATCATAACTCGGTTCTGTAAATGTTTGTCACTGTTGGTTTACATTAGAACGTTAGAAACTAGGTAATGTTCGAAAGTAAAAATTCACAATTGATTGCAATTAACGTTCTTTGATGTCATATGAATACTCCATCACTGTTGGTGCTATTCGAGTTGCATGATTATATATCAACTTGTCCGGTTTCTTTATGCTTCAGAGGACCTCTCTCGCTAAAACCCATTAGCCTCCTAACAAGAAGACGAAAAGCGAAAACTTGAATACTAATCTTGAAACTAAAACAGTCATTTGATGCCTCTGCTTATGGCATAGGAAACCACGCGTCATTAAGAATTTCGGAAACAACAAGACGCATAGTACTTCGTAGCTAGTATAGTGGGTTCGGTTGACTCTTCATGTCTATTAACTTGGTATTAACTCATTTCAGTGAGACATCTCTGCTTGCACACATAGGTGACTGTTGTCTTATGTACTACCTAAAGCATAAAGAGATATGCCTAGTCGAAACCATTTGTTTTCTGTTCCACATGCTTTTCGTTTCACCTTTGCTATATACTAAACTATAAAAACCAGTTTCAGTTTCACTAATGAATAGAACATAAACATAATTAGTCAGAACTAGTCTTGAAAAGTTGAACAAGTGTTTCTTCAGTTATACAATATTCTGCTACTCATGCTATGCCTTTTCTAGATCCACAGACGTTTCGAGTACCACCCATCAGCTTCAAACAATCTAATCAATGGCAAGACAAGGGATGAAAGGAATTGATCTACCACGAGCTCAGTGGTATTGGAAATCGAGTTATGATCCATGGTCAGCAAATCGAAGAGAAGAATGGACAAAATATTCTGATATCGAATCAGAGATTATCGAAGAAGTATTTAGTGAGAAAAGTAAAACAGAACCAGCTGAACTAGATAATTTTTGTATCAACGTAAAGGATTTCATTCAAATCAGCAAATCAGATCAAAATAAACAACGACCAATAAAGAGAGTTCTAATTAGGAGAAATGAAAATGAAGATTTAAGAGAAGAAAGATTCTTTCTTCCACCAGCATTGCGTAAAACGTTCAATGATGACTGGGGCAAAGGCGTTTATGCTTTTCTTTCACAGTAGAAGACAGGTAGGCAACTTTCTGATCCTGAAATAGTAGAGCAGGCAGCGCTTAGAATAATTCTCGAAGGAAAGCAACTCGATCAACATCCTGAATCACAATGGATAGCTGACAAATTAACCGCCGTGAAAGATGAAGAGAGACAAGAAATTTATAACTGCTGCATTACGCTATACACAATGGAATGCTTCCCATACAAACTAATAAATAAAGCGTTGAGAGAAAACAATCCGAGTAAAGTAAACATTCTCGGCCCATTCTGCTACATTTTATATAGAAGCTGGTACATCGATAAAAATGATTTTCGCAAGAAACTCTGTCGTGGTGTAAACATCGATGAGAATATGGTTAATTGTACGACGAAGCGACGGGCGAAGCGAGATGTTAGGACAGTTCCATTTCAACGAGCAAAACCCGTGAAAAAACTGAAATCTTCGGCAATACACTATTCCTTATAGATGCGACAGACAAAAGTGGCATTCACCTAACCCTGCGCTCTAAATACCCAGACAAAGAAGAAGTACTACTTCCACCAGGAACAATATTTAAACTATAAATTTCAGGTTTGACTTTGATGATGATCATCAAAGTCAAACCTGATCCAAAAACCGGCAAAAACTATATTAGTTTACAACTCCAATCTACGCACTATACAACAATCACGACATGATGGCAACATTAACTGTGGAATTCTCATGGCCATATGACCATTGATGCGACGAAATGTCATCTAATGGAACATCTACGGGACAAATGAATAGTCAGTTGCTGGGCATTCTTCACTAGCTGCATGATCATTGATTCAGCTGTTATTGACCTCATCATTGTCATATGAGCATTGATGCAACGACAGTGCAATTCTATCTAGTGCAATGGAACATCTACGAGAGGAATGAATAGTCAGTTGCTGGGCATTCTTCACTAGCTGCATGATCACTGATTCCGGCCTGTTGTGATTTGGTTCGTTGTGGTGGCAGTCTGTTGGCGAAAGTATTGTCAGAGGTGGCAATGCTGAACATGTATTAAATAGATGAATAGCTTTGTCAGCTTCAGGGGTTGTTTCGGTTATTGACTTACGAAGTTATACGATTTTGCTTAGGTAGATTGACATTAATTAGTTGGGTTCGACTAAGTGGTGGAATTGGAAGTGTCACACTGAGTTAGTATGTGTCATCGATTCAGCTAGCTAAAATAGTCGTCGCTTCGGGTAACTAATATTTATTTTCTGTACTTGATGTTTTATGCGATCAAAGGTTAGAAAGACACAAAAAGATAATTTTCATTTAGAAAAGTATAACTAAAGCAGTGATTTTAATCATTTTTAATTTCCAACGTTTCGATTTATTAAAAAATCATTGTCAAGGATATATACAGAAAACAAAAGATTTTCATTTAAACTAACTCGTATAATTTATATTTATATACTGTACGATTTTCTCTCTTCAAGTATTTTTCTTTTTTCTATGTAACCTTTCTTTTCTAGAAAATAAAATAGAAAGGAAAGAAATTGTTACACAATTGTGTTCGTCTGCATGTATTTCGAGTCTTTGACTATACTATCTCTTTTCTTTTCTCTCTTTGTTTTCTTCGAGGTATTCCTTCTGAAAAAATGATCATCTGAACAGGGTGAGTTGTACAATTTAATTTTGGCTGTAACGTTTTGATCATCAAGCTTTCCTTTATCAGCAAGTAATATGAATTTTTATCACTATCACTAACTTCAAAATTTTCCCAGTTGATTTTATGTCCAGTCTTAATCTCATGTTTCGCTAAAGACGATTTTATCTTACGTCGTCATCATTCTCTATAGTATTTGCATTGTTAATCAGTAAAGATTGTGTACCACCCATGTGCGACGACGTCTATGACAGTTTTAACCGTTTTTCTCGCAATCGAGGTGATTGACGTGGAACTAAGTACGGTTTAATAGTTTTTACTTTCTTTTTCTTTCTTAATGGACCGATCGAGTCTCGTATTTTTACTGTATCATCTATCTCGGCATCAGACCTTTCATCATTCATCCATTGAAGTCCCAGCTCGGCGAAAAGTTTTTTTTTTTTTTTTTTTTTTTTAAAGTTTTTTGTTTTTTATTTAACGCCCAAGGGAAAAAAACAAAGTACAAAGGTAAGAAGCGCGGGCAAATCCAAGTAAGTACATTATATGCCTGGGTCTATTCGACAAAAT